GAGCGTGTGTTATAGAAAAAAAGTGTATTATGAAAAGAGCGTGTGTTATAGAAAGAGAGTATGTTATAGAAAGAGAGCGTTATAGAAAGATTTTGTTATAGAAAGAGAGTGTATAGAAAGAGAGTGTATAGAAAGAGAGCGTATAGAAAAAGAGCGAATAGAAAAAAGTGTTATAGAAAGAGCGTGCTATAGAAAGAGTGTGCTATAGAAAGTGTGTGCTATAGAAAGTGTGTGCTATAGAAAGAGTGTGCTATAGAAAGAGTGTTATAGAAGGAGAGTGTGTTATAGAAAGAGCGTGTGTTATGGAAAGAGAGTGTGTTATAGAAAGAGAGTGTATTATGAAAAGAGCGTGTGTTATAGAAAAAAAGTGTATTATGAAAAGAGCGTGTGTTATAGAAAGAGAGTATGTTATAGAAAGAGAGCGTTATAGAAAGATTTTGTTATAGAAAGAGAGTGTATAGAAAGAGAGTGTATAGAAAGAGAGCGTATAGAAAAAGAGCGAATAGAAAAAAGTGTTATAGAAAGAGCGTGCTATAGAAAGAGTGTGCTATAGAAAGTGTGTGCTATAGAAAGTGTGTGCTATAGAAAGAGTGTGCTATAGAAAGAGTGTTATAGAAGGAGAGTGTGTTATAGAAAAAGCGTGTGTTATGGTAAGAGCGTGTGTTATAGAAAGAGAGTGTATTATGAAAAGAGCGTGTGTTATAGAAAGAGAGTATGTTATAGAAAGAGAGCGTTATAGAAATATTTTCTTATAGAAAGAGAGTGTATAGAAAGAGAGTGTATAGAAAGAGAGCGTATAGAAAAAGATCGAATAGAAAGAAAGTGTTATAGAAAGAGCGCGCTATAGAAAGTGTGTGCTATAGAAAGAGAGTGTTATAGAAAGAGAGTGTTAGTGAAAGAGTGTGCTATAGAAAGAGTATGCTATAGAAATAGTGTGCTATAGAAAGAGTGTGTTATAGAAAGAGAGTGTGTTATAGAAAGAGAGTGTATTATGAAAAGAGCGTGTGTTATAGAAAGAGAGCGTTATAGATAGATTTTGTTATAGAAAGCGAGTGTATAGAAAGAGAGCGTATAGAAAAAGAGCGAATAGAAAGAAAGTGTTATAGAAAGAGCGCGCTATAGAAAGTGTGTGCTATAGAAAGAGAGTGTTATAGAAAGAGAGTGTTAGTGAAAGAGTGTGCTATAGAAAGAGTATGCTATAGAAATAGTGTGCTATAGAAAGAGTGTGTTATAGAAAGAGAGTGTGTTATAGAAAGAGAGTGTATTATGAAAAGAGCGTATGTTATAGAAAGAGAGCGTTATAGATAGATTTTGTTATAGAAAGCGAGTGTATAGAAAGAGAGCGTATAGAAAAAGAGCGAATAGAAAGAAAGTGTTATAGAAAAAGCGTGTTATAGAAAGATAGTTAGTGATAGATAGGAAGATATAGAAAGAGACAGATATGTGAAGTGATGGTTATAGGAAAAGATAAATAGAAAGAAATATGTAGATAGAGAGATAGAGAGCGACAAAAAATAAATAGAAAGCATGAATAATGAAATAGATAGAAAAAAAAATCTGAATTTCTTCACTACCTATTTTTTTTTTCTTTCTATATATTGCTTTCACTTCTCTCTTCATTTTTTACTCTAAATTTCCTGCCTTTCTTTTTTCACAAAAACTTTTCTTTCTGCGTTTCACATGTTTTTTTCACCCTTATACTTTTACCCCCAGCTCTCCCTTTAAACTCGGCGCTAACTACTAGTAACAAAACGGGCGCTAATAGCTATAGCTGCACTTTGTGTGAGCTGCAGTTTTCGAGATTGCATCTCTCCTGGGCTGGCAACGTGTGTTTATAACTCTTGGGCTATTTTTAGACGAACGAATTATGTTCTTTGCTTTGTGATAAAAGGCTTTGTGCGAATTTTACACACTACGAGAAAAATTGTTCGTCGGGGGTGAGGTGTAGTGGATACACACCCCTTTTTAGTAAAAAATAAAAAAAAAGGATATAGGAATTAGTATAGGTGATTGAATTGTAAATTTAATTAACTTTTTAATGATGTGTAATAATGTTAATTAGTTTAAAATAAAGTTACGAGAAAAAAGATAAAGAGAGAGAAAGCGAGATGGATGTATATAGATAGAGATAGATAGATTGGGAGATAGGCACTTTATCTTTGAAGAAAACCAATTGCAACTTCAACTATTTTTCCTAGACAATTTTGTTCTGAGATTTTTCAACTTTTGTATGCATGATTATAGATAATTTAATTAGCTTTCTAATGATATACAATACTTATAATATATTTGATTAAATTTGAACGAAATCAATATAAATATAAACAAAAGCGTTGAAGCAAAATCAATGTAGACGTCTGACTACGATTTTAACGTCAAACTTTGACAAGTTATTTATATATAATTTTGTTCCAACAGTTACAAATTGTTGTATACAGATTTACAGATAATTTAATAAACTTTCTAATGATATATAATAATATTAATAAATTTAATTAAATTTAAACAAAACAAATATAAATATAAACGAAGCGTTGAGACTGAAACAATGTAGACGCCTGACAACAATTATAATTTCAAACTTTAACAAATTATTTATATATAATTTTGTTCCAACAGTTGCAAGTTATTATATACACATTTACAGATAATTTTATAAACTTTTTAATGATATATAATACTGTTAATATATTAAATTAAATTTTAACGAAATAAATATAAATATAAACAAAAGCGTTGAAGCTAAAACAATGTAGACGTTTGACTACAATTTGCATGTCAAACTTTAACGAATTATTTTTAAATAATATTGTTCCAACAGTAAGAAATCATTATATACACATTCACAGATAATATTATGATTTTTCTAATGATATATAATAGTATTAATGAATTTAATTAAATTTAAACAAAACAAATATAAATATAAACGAAGCGTTTAAGCTAAACCAATGTAAACGTCTGACGACAATTGTAATTTCAAACTTTGTGAAATTATTTATATATAATTTTGTTCCCACAGTTACAAATTATTATATACACATTTACAGATAATTTTATAAACTTTTAAATGATATGCAATAACATTAATTAATTTAATTAAATTTAAACAAAATCACTATAAATATAAACAAAAGCGTTGAAGCTAAACCAATATGGACGCCTGACAACAATTATAATTTCAAATTTTGACAAATTATTTGTATATAACTTTGTTCCAACGACAACAAGTTGTTATATACACATTTACAGATAATTTTATGAACTTTTTAATAATATATAATAACATTAAATAATCTAATTAAATTTAAACAAAATAAATATAAATATAAACAAAAGCGTTGAAGCTAAGCCAATATAGACGCCTGACAACAATTATAATTTCAAATTTTGACAAATTATTTATATATAATTTTGTTCCAACAGTTACAAAATATTATATACAGATTTACAGATAATTTCATAAGCTTTCTAATTATGTATATTAATATATACATGTTTGAACAAATTATTAGAAAAATATCGTGAAATAATAAAATGTAACCAATAAAATATACCAATGACTACTAACTAAACACAAGTTTTAAAATTTGCTCATTTTTCCTGATAAATTTTATTCGAAAAGTAATAAAACGTTATATACAGATTTACAGATAATTTACAAGCTATTGAGTGATATATAATAATATGTGCTTGTTTACAAATTAGTAACATAATCAATTTAAATATAAAAAATGTATCTTAGTTTAACAAAACTGACGTCAGTGTTTATAAAGTTTAAAAAATTATTTTAATATAATTTTGTTTCAACAGTTACAAATTGTTGTATACAGATTTACAGATAATTTCATAAGCTTCCTAATTATGTATATCAATATATACATGTTTAAACAAATTGTTATAGAAAAATATCGTGAACTAAAAAATGTAACCAATAAAATATACCAATGACTACTAACTAAACATAAGTTTTAAAATTTGCTCATTTTTCTTTATAAATTTTATTCCCAAAGTAATAAAACAATATACACAGATTTGTAGATAATTTTACAACCTGTTCATGATATATAATAATGTGTACTTGTTTGAACAAATTATTAGTGAAATCAATCAAAATATAAAAAAAGGATCTTAGTTTAAAAGAAATTGTGAACTAAAAAAATGTAACCAATGCAATATACAAATGACTACTAACTAAACACAAGTTTTAAAATTTGCTCATTTTTCTTTATAAATTTTATTCCCAAAGTAATAAAACAATATACACAGATTTGTAGATAATTTTAGCTATTTAATGATATATATTAATATGTACTTGTTTGAACAAATGATTAATAAAATCAATCAAAATATAAAAAAAATGTCGGGGGTGAGGTGTAGTAGATACACACTTTTTAGTAAAAAATAAAAAAGGATATTGGAATCATAGCAATTTAACCTTATGACAAGTTATTCAATAACATACTTTGTAATTTCGCTTTTAAGATACCATTTTAACTAATAAAACATTTTTAATTTTTCTCTTTATGTTTGTATGTTATTCTACTCTTCCCAAATGGTTAGTCCAATTTCGATAAAACTTTTTGTATTAGTTCAACAGGATGTTTTGGCGGTAATAAAAAACAATATTCACGATATAAAGTATACATTATTCTATACAATAGTTTACATTTGTTACTTCATAAATATTATTTCCCAGGTGCTTCGTCGTAATTGCAAATTGTTAAACAAATTACATCCGTACTATTTTTGCTCAGCTCGAATTCAGCACTTGCACATCCGACGAAATTTGCTTTGGGTTCGATCATTTGATTATATTGTTGAGATAATCTGAAAAAAAGGTTGAATGTAACAACCTTCTGCGAGACGTCTTATGTTTCGTTTGAAATTTCTTGAAAATAAAGGATAAAAACAGGCAGGAGATTTATATATATATATATATATATATATATATATATATATATTTATCTCATAATTTTTTTTACACATTATCTTCATTGTTACGATTCCTTGACATCCGGCTGCCCGATGTGCACCAGCTCTTTATTGCAGCCTCGTGACATCTTATAGTCGGATCCGGCTCGAACAATATGTGCAAGTTCTGACCAGCATTTGAAAATTGAGCTGAAAAAATAGGAATATATTTGTTTGACTATAATATTTAAATAGTACTCGTCGAGACCTTTCATTTGATACCCCACATCGATTTTTACCATATGGAAACATTTGACCCTTTTTCGGCCCACTGTACTATCTGTAGTACTAGTAAATGATTTGTGTATTTTTATATTAAATTTAATGTAACTTTTAAACGATTTGTGTTAGGTGAATGAAATATTCGACAAATTTGTATAGCATTGACTACTAAAAAATATTTTATACAGTATATACTCTCAAAACAACTCGGTATGCTTTAAAATCGTTGTTGAAAACAATAAAATAATGTTAAATACTCAAAAACTATATTGTACGGAACCCTGTGAGTTTACTGAGTTTTTGACTATAATATTCTAAAAGTGCTTGTCGAGACCTTTTATTTGATACCCTACATCGATTTTTGCCATATGGAAACATTTGACCCCTTTTCGGCCCACTGTACTATCTGTAGTACTAGTAAATGATTTGTGTATTTTTATATTAAATTTAATGTAACTTTTAAACGATTTGTCCTAGGTGAATGAAATATTCGACAAAATAGTACAGCATTGACTACTAAAAATATTTTATACAGTATGTACTCTCAATTTATGCTTTAAAATCGGTTGTTGAAAACAATAAAATAATGTTAAATACTCAAAAACTATATTGTACGGAACCCTGTGAGTTTACGAGTTTTTGACTATGATATTCTCAAAGTGCTCGTCGATACCTTTCATTTGATACCCCACATCGATGGAAATATTTTGGGACCAATTCGGCCCACTGTACTATTTACAGTACAAACAGGTTGAAGAAATGCAATTATTTATTAAAACACTTGTAACTTTTAAACAGTTGGTCTGAAGTGAGTGAAATATTTTACAAATTTGTACAGAATTAAATTCTAAATTATATTTTGTACATCAACAACCCTATTGCATATCAGTATAATTTAAAATCGCTATTTATAATCTGTTGTGCACAAAGTTTTTATTGTACGGAACCCTAGGACTTGCTAAATGTTTTGAGTATGATATTTTGAAAGTGCCGGTCAAGACCTTTCATTTGATACCCCACATCGATTTTTACCATATGAAAACATTTTAAACCCAATTCGGTCCACTGTACTATTTACAGTGCCAATAACTTTGCGAGCAAGTCAAGTGTGCATTTATTCATTAAATCTCTTGTAACTTTTGAACGGTTTGTCCTAAATAGATGAAATATTCGACAAATTTGTACAGAATTGAATACTGAATAATA